AGCCTGGGTCGAAGAATAGCACGGCTACGCACGCACTATCACTGCTACACATACACGAACACACCGTAGCGAAACAACATTCACCACCAGATTGTAAAAAAAAAATCGTGCTTGTTCGAGGCGCTCTGCCGCCCCCAGCGGCTGGTGTCGACGCTGGGTACTATGTTATCCCAGGAACATCAGATGACGAAAAGTAACCATGTGTTATATATCCCACAAGCAAGACCCCTCAGGCAAGCTCCCACTACCTACGACATGGAGTGCTCGCAAGCCCCTCAGGCAAGTGCCGGGAGCACACCGCCGTGTACTCACCTGGGGGGGGCGCACTTCAGAAACAGGCTGGACTGCTGAGAGTACTATGTTGAAACGCCCGAGTCCTTCGGTGTAAGAATATTGGGTGTAAATATGTGCGACACTATATCGATGAATGATAACACGAAGGGGAAAAGGCGGACAGTTCGAGCAAGAGAGACAAGACAGAAGACACTTTTCGGTCAAGTTCTCTTTGCGCAAGCCTGGGAGTGAATCAGTTCACTCCACACGGCTTTGGATCTCGAAACGATAACGTAGATTCACAACATATGAATATACAACTTAGTTCATTCACAATACATGACAGTGCGCTGCGCCCATTGTTTTTCAGTTGCTCCTGATTCGAGAAGTGCTTGTGGACATCATGTGGCCTGCTTTCGCATGTTTCCTCCTGCATACCGACCCGTAGACGATGTTCCTACTAGGGTTTCGCCTCGAGGATTATTCCGGTATTTTTCGGAGAGGTGCTGGCGTTCGCGAAAGGTAGCAAAACCACGCACACGCATCTTCACATGTATGGTTCGTAGAAAGGACGTGGCTAGGAATGGGGAGCGCTCGTGCTGTCAGGTCCTCGAGTTTGTTGTTAAAATCAACGATAGACACAAGGGCATCGAACGAATCGGAGCAAGCGAGCGAGCAGCCACTCCCTAGCCTCACCTTCCGGCTGCCGATTCCATTCACTCGTTCCTTCGAGAGTCTTCCGTATCTTGATTTCAATATACACAAGGACAAAGCACGCACAGGTACAGCAGCAATACTAATATATTGTATTCCCACCCGAGAGCGAGCGTACAGAAAGCGCCCGAACTTGAGGACCTCTAGTTTTGGCCGAGGCTAGGGTTCATAGTTCCTATTTTAGGGTCATGTGACGAATGGCCGCTAGAAAGGTATTTTGTGTAGGGCTGCTCAACCGAGCTCATAAATGGTGCTCAATTGCGTATTACTACAGGCTCCATTTCTTAAATGCCAAGTACTTCAGTACGAGCGCTTTCGTCAATGCCAAGGGTGCCAGTAAGAGTACGCCCTCACGACTACGAGTACACACACACACAACGCCCCTCGCGCGTGTTCCCTCATATTATTGTAATGTACTTTAAGTGTACTGTAGTATTGCGCGGGGTCTACTGTAGCCAAGCGGGGTCCACAATCATATGGAAATTATTACCGGTTGAGTGAATGCCGACAAGTGAAGCAGAGACAGGCTGGACAGCTGATGCACTGAGTTGAATCGCCAATTCGTTCGGCGTAAGTTCATTTAGTGAAAAGCGATGCGGCACTACGACTGTCGTCGAGGACAGAGAGAAGGAGAGATACAGCTCGTGAACGAAAGAGGTAAAGAGATATTGCAGAAAGCGCTTCTCGGTGAAGGCCTTTGCATCCAGCTCGTGAAAGTGGTTAAACGAGCCTGGGAGTGAATTGGTTCACTCCACACGATATTTGGATCTCGATACGAGAAGCAAAATTCGCAATATATGAATATGCTCTCATTCACAATATGACAGTTCGCAGCGCCGGTCAAGGGATGTTTCTCAACGACAGTAACGCTGCTATCTATGTATCTGCTCCCAATTCAACAAGTGTTTGAAAGGCATCATGGCGGCCTGCTTTCGCGGGTGCCCTCCTGCATACCGTTAGACGATGTTTCTGATGTGGGGTGTCGCCTCTAGGATACTTCGATTTTTTTTCGAAGAGGTTTCTAGCATTGGTGAAAGGCAGCAAAATCACGCACACATCGTTCACGTGTGTGGTTCGTAGAAAAGGCGTGGCTAGGAATGGGCAAGATGCGTGCCTCTGTCAGGTCTCAAGTTTGTTTCTAAACTCAACCGCAATAGACACTTGGGCATCGAACGAATCCGTCCTAGATGGAGCGAGCGAACCAGCGAGCAGCCCCTCCCTAGCCACACCGTCAGGCTGCCACTTCCATTCACTTATTCATTCGAGTACCTTCGAGCGTCAGCGGTAACATTTCTTGATTCCATCGTACGCAAAGGGCGAACCACATATATACAGCACGCAGTACGATGAAACTGTGTTTCCCCTGTTTGCCATCGGCGTTGGGTTTTCGTTGCTTGGCAGGACATCGTAAATGCCGATCACTTCTTGAGCACGGCAACCAGGTTTTACCGCTTCTTCTTTTACTGCCTCTATTTTGTTTTTTGCGGTAACCGCAATGATGATCGAGTAGATTATGTTGTGCGGGGTCGAGAACCCTCACTCCTCGCAAAGGGAATCATCCGACCACGTTGTGTTCGATTGTTCAAGCACCCTCGAGGCAGTTTCTCAGTGCTTATTACTTTCTCTGGAAGTGAAAGCACCAGAAAAAAGTATATCATACGCAGCTGTTATCCTTCGAACACCCTTTGCGGGATGCAGTACACCCTTCATGCGACTCGCCGAATACCTCACGGTGCTTCGCGCTTGGTGATGTGAGAGCCTGATCCGGCGTGCTGCGTCCCGGCTTCGTCGGGATGCCAGGTCAATGGTCTAACGACTACGGCATGCACGACTATGAAGTACCCCCCCAACCCCCCAACCCCCCGAGCGAGAGCGTACTGCAAGGTCGGTATAGGTCGGTCTTACTGGCACCCTTGTCAAGCAGCTTGGTCATCTTGGTTGCTTCGTAGAAAATACACCAAGGCTGCTCGCGTGGGGTAGAGAAGGTGGCGTATTGGGCGATATTTTCGTGTCCTTCCGTGGTTGGCTAGGTGTCTGGGAGTGCAATATATGCTTCTCATGCTGCAAAGAAGACGTACATTGCATGCGTGTCGTGCCGCGTGTGGTGATGCCTGGGAAAGTATGCCGCCGTCATTCCCAATTCACTCATTGGGATTCCGACACGGCACAATTTCACACCCGGGTGCATTCTATACCGAGGTTTTTGCGCCCCGCCGATGGTTTTGGCCTTCAACCATATGTCACCCATAGCGTTGTCAACCATTCAGATAATGCGATGTTCTTGTGGATCAGTAACAGCCAAGCTATCCCCGCCGAGGAATGTAAACGCCAGATCACACACACGGAATAGCAACGCATGTGTGTCAAGGTTGACATGCGTCGTTGAAGTGATTTCATCTGAAGAAAAGGCATTCACTGCCTAGCGGGCGCTTGGCGGGGAGGAACGTCAGGGACGAATGCCCAAGCGAGCTACTCGGGTGAAGCAGTATTATCGCACGTTTGCAAATGCAAAAAAAAGGCGACAGCATATAGTACGAGTATACAGTGTGTTCCACGTACATCTCCCGACCCACCATTTCATTCTCTGGACAAATTAAGCCGACATATGCACGATTGTTCAACATGACGATACCCCTGTCGGCGTGGGTGAAAAGCTGTACCCTTCTGCACACCGCGAGGATTGTCGCTGATAGGCAATAGTGTGACGCCACGTAGGCTCTGGAGCCTGCCAAAATTCCAAGATGCGGCCAAAAAACAAGGTTTTTAGAGGTTCAGGTGCACGTGCGATGCACACATTGATGTAGCCGCTTGATGCGTTTGCACCGCACACGAAAATCAACAAAACCGAAATCACACACCACGACAGGTTGACGATTGCACAGCAAACGCGAATCAGACCACAAATCGACCGGCCTGTACAGCAACCGAACCGTTCAGGGAAGGTGAACGGCTACCTTCCCGACGTCAGGAGCATGAAAATAGAGGTGAATAAAGTAGTACTACACGTAGCAATGACAGACGAACAACGCCACCAAACGGACAATTGTTGGAACAACACGGCATCATCGCCCGCGTGGCACGGACGACGTTCCGGGCAAAACTTGTGAAGCAAAGATAATATCAAGTCGACCCCTTGATCGATAGCTCGTGCCGTACAAACCTTCTGCAACTTTCACATTCATGTGTATCGTGTCGGCACTGAAGTCTGATGACAACAAGACGGACGCCTGCAGCAAGAACCCTCTCGCGCCCTACTCACCAACCGGCTTTTACCCATGCCAGACCACGCGTTGATGCGATAGTGCGCAGTCAGAGCAACAACAATATAACAGAGGTAGTCCTGTAGGGATGCTGGGAAAAACAGAAACGCTTTGCTGCTGGACCAGCGTTGACGTGTCACCTGCCCTCTATGACTACAGTATGTCATCTTCCACATAAGGAACATGCCGCCCCTCGTTTGCCGTAAACGAAGACGACAGGTGAATGTCATACAAACATTAAAAGGAATAGGACAGCAGTAGATTCACAAGCGTTACGCAGAACCAGAGAGCATGCTGGCGCTAGCCACATGGCCCCTGTATCGCAGCCTCTGCTCGCTTTTCCCACGAACCCGAATTTACTCCCCATTTATTGCGAGGGCCAACGTTAAATTCACTTTCCACAAACAAGCAGTCTGTGGAATCACTCGACATGCTACAAATGCATGGTAGAGGTAACCGTGTTGGAGTAGTCGCACTACTGTAATAATCAGCCGCGACCGTTTATTGTCTCCAACCCAGGAGGGAAAAAATAGGCTCCAAATATCGGCCTCTTCGAACGCGATGAACGGACCCAAACTTGATTCCACGGACGACCGAAATCGTCCTTCTTTTCGACCACAAGATCTACTGAACACCGATTGAAGATCTGAAAGCAGCGTGTCTCGCACATCATCGCAGAGAAACTACTGCCGTAAGTCACATAGTCGTACGTTGCGGCCAAATAACCCTCCTAGTGTCAGAGCAGCAGCACCTCTAGGCCTTCTTGGGGGCTTGAGCCTCTCCTCCCGATGCCACGATGCCCACGAACACTCCCAGGACTCCCGCAGTCAAGGCCCACGCGCCCCGCTCTCCGCCGAGGGACCGCAACCCCCAACCGCTGTGCAATCCCAGGACAACAGCCCCGAGACCTGCGCAGAACGCAGCCTTGCCAGCCCACCTGGTACAACGAGTAACACGTGGGTGGTTGGGCTCGAGATACCGCGGTAGGTTGAGCTGGACGCTGCACAAGTGTATTGAAGTGCGTTGTGGAGGGCTGCAAACGTATCACTGTGCCATACGAGAAGATGCGGTCGTCACTTGAAGACCCACCTCCTCGCTCACGCCACATCACACCGTTGGCGCTTGCTCTGGGTAGATTCCGGCGTGGAACGGAACAATGGGACGTGCACCCGTCATCCATCTCGAAACTAGTGACAAGGCGTCTCTCCCAAGCTTGCAACCCCCTCCCCCCCCGCTGCTACACGTGTTCTAGGCATACGATTTGCTACAAATCAATCTTTTAATGAGGGAGTGTGCGTAAAGGCGATGGGGGTGGTCAAAACACGATCCTGCGCATGAGAATCGGACTCCCGTGTAACGCCAACTATACACTCTTTAGCAAAACATCGAAACAAGGGAACGGTCTTCCTCCGACAGGACGTTTGTTGCAACGGAAAACTGGTTCTAGGAACAAAATCGCCCGCAGTTTTCTGATCGACCAATTTTCTTATCCAATCGAAAAATGTACTCATCCTTGAATCTACACAAGCAAGGTGGGTTCTCATCCGCTTCGAATCGCTCTCCAAATTGTTCAGAATACGTCAGGCATGGTGTGAATAGACATGCGGTGAAACTCCTACGCACCGGTGATTCCGGGATTTCCACAAGAACAAGAGGCGTCTCTTCTCCAGGTCGGCCGTGTTAGCTCCCGCGAGGGCAACGTTGCCCACCCAGAGAGCGAGAGCCAGAACCCCCGCCCACGAGTGCCAAGAAGTCCAGTGATTCTTGCCCATTTTCTCCTTGTTGGTGTAGATGGCGTACAGTCCGCCCAGCATGGAAGCTAGGGCCAAGTTGCTGAGAGCGCTGTGGAGCTGAAAGAGAACGGAAGGGAGAGCGTGCGGAGGGAGGTCGGACCATGTTTGTTCGGCCATTGCAGAAGAGCGGCATGCACACTTACAGAGGGAGAGAGGGGAAAGGGGGAGAGGGTCTCTGTCTGTCTGTCTGTCTGTCTGTCTGTCTGTCTGTCTGTCTGTCTGTCTGTCTGTCTGACTGTCTGTCTCGCCTCCCCCCCGCCCCCGCTCCCTCTCGAGACGTAGTCATGGACACGGAGGTAGTGCTCCCTTCAGTCCAATGTGCGCAGACCTACAACATGTGGCCAGCTGCTGTAGATATCGGGCGTACATCGTCGAGGGATAGCAGTGCACATCGGTCAATTGTGAAAATAAACAGCAGATGGTTTGCTACTGTAGCGTTCTCCCACACATACACACATACCTGCACCCGTTGAGTCTTGGGGGCCATGCCTCCTACGGCGTGTCTTGATCTCACCGCCTGTATGCCGGCGGTGGGTAGGCCAAGCGCACCGAACGACATCAGAAACGGATGCCACGCAAACAAGCCGCCTTGACTGTAGGCCTCTATGGAGATGAACAGAGCCAGACCAAGGCCGAGGACGGTGGTCATCATACCGATCATGATGTCGTCAGCCTACTGCAGGCGTGTTTGCGGTAGTGTGTTGCACACGAAAAACACGACCTCCCGCGCAACTGACGTGCAGAGCAGCTCTCGTGGCGCACGATCTGATTGTTGTTGTCCCAGCTGATTTTTGTCCCATTCGTACATCTTGTTGGGTCCTCCATATCCCGCAATCCCGCCGCATTTTGGTTTCCACTGGTTGTAGCGGCGTAATCATTTTCGGAAAAAACACGTTCTCCTCTGGTTTCCCCGGTCCCCAGTCCCCAGTCCCCAGCAGGTGCAGGCGGGTACCCTTGTTTGTACCCTCTGTCGCTCTGTCCTCTTCTGTCTCACTAGGCTGCCGTGCCAAAAAGCTAGGACAGCGGGATCCCGACATGGCGAACCAGGACACTCGTCGCGTCCAAGAGGTAGGGAAAGGGGAAGCCCAGATAATTACGTTTCCTTTGCATGTACAAGCGTATGACGTAGCAGCGCACGGCAAGCAACAGGCTGTTTCAAAATAGTTCAACCTATTGGGCCGGCATAAGCACAGGCCATGAGTCGACGGTGAGCTAACGAACATCACGCTGCCTGTGTCCTTCAGCGTCTGGGTACCAGTCGTACTTTTGAGAAGCCACCACAGAAGCTGAGAGCCGATTTTCGTCTCGTGGGCCGCACTCGCATCATGCTGGACGGGGATGTTGCCTACACGCCTACACAGCGCAATACCAGTATGCGACCATGTAGCGCCTCTTATCTGCTGTCGCAAGAATAGATATGCATGCGCCCGGTGTTTTTCAGCCGAGTGCGCGTACAGTAACGGATGCGCGAGAGCAGTTTCATGCATACGATCCCATCTGCAGGCAAAGGATTTTTTGTTGGGATTGAAACGAACGTGAGTCGGGCTGCTCGATCCACTGACGATCTTGTCGTGCTTGAGGTGCGCAACGGTTGCAAGTTTGTTTTTCCCATGGAACAACATCGTCGAATTTGCAGCAGTTTATGCGTACTCGTATTTTTTGGCGTGCAGGTATGCATACGATACACCAAGCTGCCTGGATCCAGAACCCCGTGGTCGATATTTGGTTGAAAGGGAGGGCTTATCGTTGAGACCACTCTGGTTGATGGGGCCACTTAATCACACAGCAGACGTGGGGAAAGGCTGCTGCCAGTTGGTTACGAGGACTTGTGCTGGCGGTTGGGTCCATTCCTGACTGCTGCACTGCTGAAGTGGTCGCTGAACACCCTGTGGCAGTATGCCGTGTGTTCAATGTTCAATTTTCCACCTCGACAATGTCTTGCGCTGCTGTATGGGGTCTTTGCCGCTGTTTTTCAACCTATCATCGCATGGGCAATGTGTTGATTTTCCCGTGGGTCCTCCGTTTTCTGATTTGACTTTTCATGTGAACAGCAGTCGGGGCTCCAACACAAGAGGGTAGCTTACAAGAGGGGGCTCCGATATCAGAAGATCGAAATCGGTTGCCACGGACTGGACCCGTCATACTAGAATAGATGGGTACCCTCTTATTCCGGTATAAGAGGCGGCTCCGGTAAAAGAGGGTTGAAGGCCTTCGTCACACCACCCTATTATATCGGAGCCACGACTTCAGTGTACTATAGTTCGGGCAGTCTAGTTTGTTGAGTCCCGTGACGCGTGAAGAGTCTCGCAGCACGAGAATCACAAAAAAATACAGCAGTACCGATGTTCGAAGCTAACGAGCAAAGCTCGGAACCGTTTTTGATGCCTGAGGACAACGGCAGTCGCAACACCAACTTCAGGTCGATCGCTCTGCGGAGGTCTCAGAGCTCTCCTTAGAAGAGCGATTGCCCGACCCGCTTGCTGCGACTCGAAATAATTCCACAATTTTTACAATTGCTGTGTATACGTCGTCTCCCCCCCCCTGCCGAACGTTGGACCCAGGACGCCGCGTTGTCGGCACACCTACCACCAGCGTCTTCGCAGGGGGGGCGCGGCGCTAACTACACCTATTCTTCTGTGGACACCCGCGGAATCGGTGATGGCGAGGACGGCATCAGCCGCAAGGGTTTCGGTGGGCCCACGGGGCACGAGTACGCGCCTTTCGTCGACAACGATTCCACCAGCTACGGCGATGCTTCTGCAAAGGGGGAGGGGGGGGGAGGCGCGATAAGCCTGACAAGCCGGCACCACGCGGCGATACCCATCTCCTACTTCTGCGTCGGGTTTCTGGGCAGGTGCGACTTGCACGGTGATGGATAGCGACGGCGGGATGGTGTTCCTCGTCATGGTTCCGGCGCCCACCGTAGACCTCGTTCGGTCCATTGTACGTGGTAGAAGAGGTGACAGACCAGGAGCAACAATTATACTCGGTGTCTCTGGCGTTACTTTGTTCCTCGTCGCAAGTTGGAGTTTCTTGGGGGCCAGGGATCCAGTCATGTACCCTCCGTGCTGGGATGGATGTTGGCGTCGCCCATGTCACCCCTGTGAGGTTTCTTGAAAACTAGCGTGGGAATGAAGCAGCCTTGCAGGAGGTATTCTGTGTCTGTGCTTCTATGATACCCCCATCGTCCGCCCCTTGCCAGATGCGTGGTCGATTCCGAAGCTGCGAGAGCTAGCGGATTGCTTTGCGCCTACCCGTTATGGTGCAACGTGTAAAACACATCCCTTTGTTGTGTGTAGTTCCGATTATTTTCTTTTTCCATGTATTGTTTCCAAATCTCCTCGTTTGTGCCCTTCCCGTGCCGTCTGCCCTACCCCCGTCCTACGTCGTAGCTTCGTGGCAAACCCACTCAACATCTACATCGTCCAGACCCTCAACGCCCAACCTTCCCAGCAGAACACGCTCGTGGTCCTCATGACGGTCCCGTGGTCGTTCAAGCTGATCTACGGCTTCCTATCGGACGTGTGCCCCATCAGAGGCCTGAGGCGAAAGCCCTACCTGGCCTTCGGCTACCTGCTGTCGTCCTTTTGCTACCTGGTGCTCGCTCTCACTGCTGAGGTTTGGACATGGCGTCAATAATGTCAGGATTTGTTTTTTGGAGAAGGAAGGGATCGTGCAGAGGCAGCAGTGTGGCGAGACTAGGATATGAGGTATGTGTGCTGTTGGAACTCGATACCTCGTTTTCAAGAGCCGCGACCTTTCTCCCTTAATTCTAGGCGAGGCATTGCAGAGGACATCCAAGAGGTGAGGGGGGCAACTCACGTACGGGAGTCTGGGACCTCGTTCGTTCCAAGGGCCAATCGGTTGTCTTCGTGAGTTGGGATTGTTTTGTATGCTCTGATGGAACTACTGTAACGTGCTACCCAACAACACCAACAACGAACAGCCTAGTCATCGCGATTTCCCGTACACGATCCGTGCGCCGGCGTTCCGTGTTTCAACAGGTGACCATCCAGAGTCTTTCAGGGCTGCTTTTCCTGGCAACGATGGGCCAGATCATGGGCGACGTCATGGCAGACACGCTGGTATGTCGGCCACTTTGTAGCCACATTTTGTCGTAGAAATAGAGTGCTCCCACGGCCTTCGTGCACGCTGCCCTCAGCAGTTTCTACACACACGAAGAACCACTGGGACAGAAATACTCCATGGGTATATACTCGTTCCCTTCCTGCCTACGGTCCGTCCCTCGCCATTTTGCTTCCGTTCGTTAATTCCGACCGATGGCATGCCCCCTAAGGCTGCTGCTGCCGTGCTGTCGCCACACGAAGAACCGCGGTGTCTCGCGTGCCAGAGTCGTCAGAGTTTTCGGGCGGCACTCGTTGTTGCAGGGAACCCGCTCCCGGCGCACCAACCACTGCTCGAGCTCTGCATTTTTTCTCCCCGACCGGCTGGCGGACACTGCGCCTCTGCTTATGGTGCCGGCACTCTTGACATTTACCTACTGGAAAACCTGGGTGTCCTAGGTGGTCGAACGTGCCAGGGGCGAGGCGGAGGAGTCTCGAGGGCAAATGCAGGCGACTTGCTACGCAATCAGATTCGCCGGCAACGTCATCGGATGCTTGGGGGGCGCCTTGCTTTTCAACAGGGGGGCCTGGGGCTGGGGCCTCACCTTTAGGCAGGTATGTGCGCGCACGCCATGGCTGCTTCATGTCTGTCTCCCACGGCCAAAGCATGGCCGTTGAATTCTTGCGGCGGAATCGTTTGTGGTCCACTGGTTCGTCCTGCTGAGTTGTGCGGCGAGTTAGTTGTGTCGGCATTCCCGAATTGTTTGTGTTGCTTCTGTCGTTTCGGTTTTTGTGCGCACTCCGGTTCCAGCCTCTGCGCGTCGCACGCTGAATCCCCTTCCACGTTTACTTTTAGTCGAGCGCACGGTTTGGGTTTGTTTTTGTGGACGGTTTTTGTGATTGTTCGTCGTTCAGGACGTCGGGCTATTTATCATTGTCCCGATACTTTTTTCTCCTTTATCCGTTACTGTGTGCCGCTGGCGGAGGACGCTGCCGCTAAGGTCGTGTCCGATCGGCATGGTGATCATTTCTGGTCTCCCCATGCTCGAAGCTTCCATTCAATCATCTGTTTAACCCTCGCGTCTCACTTTGTTTGTCTTCGCGACTCGTCCTATCAAACGTCACCAGGTTTGCCTCATCATGAGCATGATGCCCGTGCTCGTGCTGGGACCCGCCGTGGTTTATCTGTGGGAGGAACGAAGCAAGGAGACCAAGGGCGTGAAGAATCAGGCGAGCGGGCCTTGCAACATGCCTGCCAGTTTTCGTGCTCGGCTCAGCAGACACTGCGTTATGCATTAAATAACAATCTCCGAAAGGTTGTGGTAGTTCATTAGCAGATATCTGGCTGTGCCACTTGTCGCCTGTGTTGCATATTTTCCAGCCTGGGGGGTGATTGTTTTTGGTGTGGTCTTGCTGGTAGTCGTCGGCAATTGTCATGTTGTTTTGAAAATTGGTTCATGTATGAAGAAATAAAGTATCGTGTTACGAACCCCTTCGCACACCGTGCGAGAAGGCTTTCAAAGAGCACGCACGGAGAGGGAAGTACGACAGCCTTAGAACACCACCTGGACACAGCCGGAAGGGCACGAGCGAGAGCATGAGCACGACGAGCAACCGACATCGGCCAGCGAAATGAGAGGAACACTGCTGTCCCAAGCACTGTTAGAGCTCGGGCTAGGGTGTGTCTTGGAGGCGTACCCCCAGCTCACAGCTTCAACGTACCACGACATAGGGAGAAACATGAGGCGCTGCTGCTAGGCTGAACAGGGCGGTGTGCCCCCTTGTCCTCACTGGACGACTCCTCTCCTCCCAATTTTGCTCGTCCGCTGCTTGGCTTTTCGCGCTGCATTATCGTAGCTGTCACGCCCTGACGGCATCGGCTGGTCCATCTTTTGTCGCCATGGTGCTTTGTCGACGTCCCACCAGGTTAGAGACATTTGGGACACCATCCAGCTGCAGGCGGTGTGGAGACCCATGGCGTTCGTGTACATCTTCAACATATTCCAAGGTGTGCATGCGCGGGTGGAAGAGGAGTGAATGGATCCTCATAACACACTATCTCCACGGCTACGTGCGGTATTCGGAGCAGGGGGGGGACCACAAGTCGAATCCTTTGTTGCTCGTATTTCCCAAGTGGAGGGAGTATTCTGGGTTGACGTTAACGTTATGTCACCCTTTCTTCGTTCGACCCTAGTGCGCGATGAATACACCAACGTCAAGGAAGCTCAACAATATGACGATGCTTGTCGTGGCGCGATGCCGCCCTACGAATGTCTTCATCAGTACTTTTCCGAAGCCACTGGCATGCCAATCACCCCCCCCCCCCCCCCCAAACCAATTTAAAATTTTTAAAAAAACAATGAAATGGGGGGAACAAAAAAACAAGCCAACAAATTCAGTTACTTAAGAATTCCACGCCAAAAATGCGGGAGGGGAAAAACATGCCGGGGGGAAAGAGTATTTTTGAAATAAAAAAAAGGTGAAAGGGTTTGGCCTGAAAAAAAAAAAAGGGGTGTGGGAAGGAAT